GCCGCGGGCCGGGCTTGGGCGGCCGGGGCGGGGCGGCATCGTAGCCCAGCGCGGCTCAGGGGCTGGTGCGGGCCGAGGTCGGGCTGACGGGGGCCAGGATAGGGGTTCGTGTCTGTCTGGGCGTCAAGGCACCCCCAGCACCTGGTGCAGCACTTTGGCATTCAGTGGGCACTCAATAGATGCTGAACGAGTCAATAAAGCCAATATAGGAACGCCAGGACTGTGGCCGTCCCCTGCCGCCCACAGAGTTCTCTTCCGGAGGTCAGGGCAGGCTGGTCAGCTTTGGTCATGGTGGCGCTCGGGGCCTGGCGCTGCGCCCTGATGCACAGTGAGCCTCCATAAAGGGATGCCAGGACCCTGCCTTCCCTCCCACACCTTCCACAGACCAATTCCTTCCTGCCATCTCTGTGCCTCTTTCCTGTATCAATTTCCCAAACCTAAACTAGCCTCTGTGTCCCATCTCTACTGGAGGCCAAGAGAACAATTCCAGGCTGGGACCTGGGGCTAGGGCTGGAGAGCAAGGAGGACCCTGCACATTCTGAAGCTTGATGGGGCGAAGGGGTCCGGAGGTTGGGGACGGGGTGGGGGGTGGGGTGGAAACCTCATCCCGTGCCTCTCCTGGCAGGTGTGTGGAAGGCCAGAGGCCAGGCACCCCACCCTCCACCTGTTTTCTAAAATTTCTTTAGTCATCTGGGGAAAAACATTAAAATGAAAGTCCAGCCCCATTTCCTTCACAGTTCAACTGGAAGGCTGCCTCTGAAGATTCCTCAGTTACAGTAGTAGCTTTCTAGTTGAAGGCCCCACACGCGGTGCAGCACCAAAACCTCCGCATCCCTGGGCCCATACTTCCTCATGGATGAGGAAGAATCAGGAGGGGCCCTTTCCCTGGGGTTGTGGTGAGGAAATAAAGGGGATGGTGCTGCTGGATGTCCCTCAGTGTGTGGCCAGGCTTCCCTCTGAGTCTCCAGCCCCCCTCCCCTCCGCAGGACCTGGCATATGGCGACAGGAACGATTTTCCCCAGAACAGCACTTCACCTGCTTCAAGGAGGTCTTGAGAATGGAGGCTGGTGGCATTTGGGGGAAATATTTTCATGTCTGTCAAGTCCCCAAGAGCCTTCGGTTTGGGCTGGGGCTCTCTTCCATTATAAGAAGGCCCCAAGGAGCCCCGAGGGAATGGTTCTGTCTACAATTTCTCAGGAGGAGGCAGCAGCTGCAGAAGCCTTCAGATATGAACACTCAGCTCAGAGAACAAGCAGTGCCCGCCCTTGGAGACCACAGATCAATCCCTAGTCCTGGCACCCCAGTCAGCCTGGGAAATCTGAGGGAATCTAACAGATACTGAGCACCTACTATGTGCTAGAGCTGGTATGGGGTGATTTACCATGCTATGTCAGATTGTTCTCAAACCACCAAGGCAGGTACGGATTGTTTGTGCTGTTTTTTAAATGAAAGAGCCTGAGCTCTGGCGCCTAAGACTACCTAAGTGCAAATCTCTTGCCATCCTGCCTCCCAGGCCTCCCAGGGGATGGCCCAGCCCACTGAGTGGGGGCCTCACCTCTGCCACCACTTCTCTCCTTTTGTAACCAGCCATGATAGTGCCATGCGGGTAGGACCCTGTCTTCCCAGGGCTCACACAGTGTCTGTTGAATGAATGCTTCCCAGGGACCCAGAGTTGTGGGCTCTGCACCCAGCCCTTGCCCAGCACTCTGGCCCTATGTCTTTGGAGGGACCCACCGGGGACCTGACATCTGGTGTTGGCTTCTGAAGGCTTCCAACTGTGCCACTTCCAACTCATTATCACTAATGTTTGGGGACACCCTGCATACAACAGATGCTATTAGAAAACCAAATTCCATTCCATCAGGAAGCAAAGCTAACAGAGCACAAAGCAGGTTAGGAGGGGAAGATTGATGAGCCAAGGCCCCTAGAAAATAAACAAGGGAAGTTTTCTGTGCCAGATTACTTTTATTTATTACACTTGCTTTTTGTTAAAGACACAGCCACCCCACTAGTCTTTGCTGCCCAGGGTGGAGCGATGGGCTGTTGGGGACTGTGGGGGGCTCTCAAAGCCCAGGAGAGGTACAGAGGGGGGTTTACAAGTTTTGGCTCAGGTCAGCAAGCCTCTGGAAAAGCATCAGTTTTGGGGACCAGCTTGGAGATGCGTCAGCTCTGGCATTGATGGTGGAGCAGGGCTGGGTCTCGCATTGGTAGGCTCCCTTCCTGGTTGGGCTTGTCTCCAAACCAAGGGACTGAGCAGGGCAGGGCCTTGAGAGATTGGGCCAGTGGGGCAGTTCTGGCCGGGAGCCACCCTGCAGGATCTCTCTGGCACATTGTTTCTGGTCCCCAAGTGAGCAAGGGTGATATTTGGGAATTAGCAACAAATGGAAACTACTGTACAACAAGATGAGTGACTTGCTGGCCGTGTTCTTGAGGATCTCACACATTAGCAGGGAAATCGTTCATTCATCTAGTCAACAAATACTTATTGTGGGTCCATTATGCTCTGCTATGGGCATTGGGGAGCCACCAGTGAACTTTTCTAGACAAGTCAATGGATGTATGACCCACCGAGGAGGGTCTCACTGACTGTTAGGAGGGGTCAGAAGAGGCTTCACAGAGGAAGTCCAGCTGGTCCTGGAGCTCAGGATGTCTCCAGTCAGAATACTCAGGGGAGAGCATTCTAGAGCATTCCAGAAGAGTGTTCCAGAGCAGGAACAGTATGCCAGGGGCAGGAACAGCAGATGCAAAGGCACAGCAGCATGAAGCTCAATGCAAGGACATAGATTAGATGATTAGAGCTAGAGGGTCCACATGGGAGTATGAAGGGAGAGAAGGCAGGAAAGACAGACCGGGGTGCCCACCAGCTTGTGAAGAGTTTGCACTTTCTCCTCAAGATAATGTAGAGTCATCAGAGGCGAGGGACATTCAGCCCCCTAGGCACAGTTCAGACTGCTCTGCTGAGGGAGGGTCCTTTTCCTCCCTGCTGTGTCCCTTCTTCTGCCTTGAGGTAGAGGAGTTCTGATTCCCACCCTTGCCTCACTGCATAGCAGGTGTTGGATGTGAACACTTCAGGCCCACTCTATCCACCCACTGGAAGAGGAGCCACTTCCTTGACTGACGATATGAGGGAGAGCCTGACTTTGGTGCAGCAACTTAAAGCACAGAGTCACTGCCTTGAACCCTGGCCTATCTCTATGTACAAAAAAAAAAAATTCTTAATTTTGATGAAGTTATCTATTTTTTCTCTTGTTGCTCATGCTTTTGGTCTCATATCTATGAATCCATTGCCAAAAACAAGGTCCTGAGGATTTACCTTTATGTTTTCCTCTAAGAGTTTTATGGTTTTAGCTCTCATATTTCGGTCATTGATCCATTTTGAGTTAACTTTCATATATGGTGTGAGGTATGAATCCAACTTCTTTCTTTTGCATGTGGAAATCCAGTTATTCCAGCACTATTTAGTGGAGAGATTCTTCCTTCCCCATTGAATGGACTTGACACCCTTGTTGAAAATCAACTGACAATAGATGTCTGAGTTTATTTCTGGAATCTCAATTCCATGCCATTGGTCTACATGTCTGTTTTCATACCATACCACACTGTTTTGATTACTGTAGCTTTGTAGAGGATCAACAAGAAAGAGGAAGACCTTTAAGGAGATGGATTGACACAGTGGTTGCAACAATGGGCTCAAATGATCGTGAGAATGGCGCAGGACCAGGCAGCGTGTTCCATTCTGTTGTACACAGGGTTGCTGTGAGTTGAAACCAACTCAACAGCACCTGACAACAACAACAGCTTTGTAGTAAGTTTTGAAATTGGGAAGTGTGAATCCTAC